TCAGACCCAGAGAAGACCTGTGCATTGTAGGAGCTCATGGTGTAATAGTTCTGGACAACCATAAATGCAAGGATGCTAATTAAGGCAATCAAGCTGGCTAGATCCTTAAAGAATTAGTTGCAAGAAAAAACTTCACAACAAGAGATAAAGATCTTGAAGCTTAAGAATAGGTATGAATGATTTTTAGTGCTAGAAGATACAGGGCTTGCTAAGAGGCACAAAGGGAAATTAAAAAAGGAGTCTAGATAGGAATTTGAGGAGTTTATCAAGGAGGAGTTAAACCTAAGTGATAACTTAGAGGACACTATCAATGAGTCAAAAGGCAAGGATGAAGACATCCAAGAGGATGCAAAGGCATTGCTCAAGGTTGGGAAGACAACCAAAAAGTAGGTGCAAGAGATAGAGTCATCTATTAAGTAGGTGATGAAAATAGAAGCAGGGGAAGTTAGTATTGAAAGGATGTTGGAACAAAAGGAATTTGAGATAGAGCAAGAGATTCCTACAGAGTAGTAGGTACAGGCATCTTCTACTTCAACATTAGGAGTAAAGAGATATGAGGAGCCAAAGGTGGCAATGAATAAGCAAGAAACTAAGAGATCATAAGTGGTCAAGTTTGAGATGAAGAAGTGGTTATAGAAAAAGGGAAATAGTTTCCATAGATGTAGAGATTCTTAGGATGCAAGGTGAAAAGGAATTTGCAATCTAACAAAAGAAAATAATTAGAGGAAGCCAAGTGAAAATAGAATGGCTAGTAGATAGCAAGGATAAAAGAAACAAAATTGTAACTAAGAGAAGTTAAAGGAGAAGGAGAAGTCAGGATAGGGATAATCAACTTCTAAGACAAACGATTCCATATCATCCATAAGAGTGGAATTTACAAAATGAGTAGGATTTTGGTGAGGATGAAATTGGCATTGCATCTTAGGTGGTGGCAGGGTGGTACAACTGTACTGTCATAACCCTAGAAACAATTGAAAGTGTATGGCACTAGGGCAAGGAGAGGAAATCCACTAGGATATTCCTTTTGTGATTTGGGCATCTAAGATCTTTGAGAGACAAACCTTGGATGAGGATTTGCAATCCGATTTTAGGAGATTTAGTTAAGAGTAGAAGATATAAAGAGGAGGAGGATGGTAGGGAAGGGTTAAGTTGGGCCTCACCCCCTTTATAAAGCATTTAAAAGTTTAATAGTGTTTACTTGTAGAATTAGAATAGAAAGTGTTTTCCAGAGGAATTTTATAGCCTACCAGTGGGAACACAGTGGCTCTGACCTTATCTGTGAGCATTCCACAACCTGCTAATGGCAAAACAATGGCTTTGAATTAGTGATCTTGAATTTGAAAGTGTTCTTGAGGAGTTACATCTTCAAAGTGTTCTTTTGGGAGGATTGAGAGGTTTTAAAGGAGGGTTTTGGAATAGGAGAGAGTTCTTATGGCCTATTAGTGGCAACACAGTGGCCCTGAGCAAAATTAAGGGATAAAAGAGTGTTCTTGGTTTCTTTTTTGCAAGGGTGTGTGACAGTGGGGCAATTGGGAGCAATTGTGCCTTGCTTGGCTCTTTGGAGCCTCTACCCTGCCAATTCCAAGGTGGCTTGCAGCTGGTCAGTGGAAACATAGTGGCCCCAAGCCATCCCTTCTCTAAGTGCCCTTCTTCATCCTCTTTTGCATGGGATTCCTCCTATGCAGCACAATAGGGCTCTTACCTTGACTGATTAGTCTTTTTAGCCAACAAGCAAGTTGGGTAGCCTTAGATTTGCCTAGCCTCCCTTGCTGTAGTTGCTTTTGGGTTTCTTGGAGGGACTTGCCCAGGTGGGGCACGTGGCAAATTCGTAGGTGGTAGACATGTGGGTGAAGAGGGCAAATTCAACTATTTGGCATGCTTGGGTGGTGCTTTCTTCCACTGTTAGGTTACTATTTAACTTTCCCACCTTTTTGTTTTTGATGGAATCCTTTAGGAGTTTTAATTGTCCCCTCCTCTTTTGAGTGCCCTTCTTCATCCTCTCTCATATGGGATTCTTAGAAACTGGCAGAAATGCAGTGGCCCTAAGCAGTTCTAAGGGATAGAAGAGTGTTCTTGGTCTCTTTGAATGCCCTTTTTCATCCTTTCTTACACGGGATTCCTCTTGCTCAACACAATATGGAATCAGAGTTCAATTGGTCTTTCTAGCCAATGAGCAAATTGGGTAGCTTTGGATTTACCAAGCCTCCCCTTCTTGGAGTGGGCCATATGGCAGTTTTGAGATATTCTATGAACACATGGGCAAATGGGGGCAAGTTCAATTATTTGGCACACCTAGGTGGTACAAGTACTTGCTTTCTTCCACTGTCAAATTACTATTTAGCCTTGCCACCTTTTTGTTTTTATGGAACTCTTTTGAAGGAGTTTTAGAAGCTGACTATATTACTTTAACTTAGCTTACACAATTCTAAAGATATCACAATAACTAAAGAAGATGAGCAGTGAGCCCATCCGGAAAAACCATTGCTGTTTTGAAATCAGAAGCAAATGTAACAGCAAACACATATGTCCCATCCTCATCTGGCATGTTATCCACAAATTCTGCCTCATTCACTATACCAATCATAACGTAAGCCTTGAGCGGTCCAATAAACAGGGGCCAGTACCGGCCGTTCTGCCTGAATCTGGAACATAAAGAAATAGTACAAGTAAAAAAACAAGGAAAATGCTTTGAACTCTACTTACCTCTCAAGATGCGAATGTCTTGTGGCCTCTGTACCCTTCCTCATCAGTTGAAAAAACCAGCCAAACTGTGCCAAATAGTAATCAGCGAAGCCTTTGACACCGAAATGAGGTCCCACGTCGGGACATAGGCAAATGTCTGGATCAAGCAAGGAGCATACTGACCTGCAACACATTCATGTGAGAAAAGAAACAGATCTAAGTCACATACTTGTAAAACTCCATTTCCAGGTGGTGCTCGTACGGGGTGGTATCATCCCCATCTTCTTGACCCCGTGAAAAGCTGTTTCGTAACACCTTCGACGAGAAGCACTCCAAAACCCTGACAAGAAACACCTTGATTCCCAGGGCACCTACCTCTGCTACCGACAGTATACCCTTGTAGATGCGCCTGGAGTAAAAACGTTCGTGCACTTTAGAAGGCAAACAGTAATTTCCCCGCTGATTCTTGATAAGCTGGCCACACAGAAGTAGCTCATGGACAGCGTCTTGCATCTCTTGCGAAATCCATTCATGCGACAACTAAGATCAGAGGACATGTCAAACAGATCAAGATCTACCAAGCGAATGCATACCTCGATATTCTCAAGTAAGCACATTATTAAGGAACGGTAAACACCAGAGCGACTGTAAATTTTGCGGTAGAACCTGCATATCCTGTCAGACTATTGTAACCTTCAAGAAACAGCACGGCTTACAATTGTATGCTCCGACAATTGGCAAGAATGATAGAGAAATCGGTCGTCTGCAGCGTGTGGACGAAGTACTCACTTAGCGTGCTCGGCCTCATCCGAATCGCAGTGTCCGCAAGCCAATCCAAAATTCCCGTCATAACTCCTGGCTGCTTATCAGACAGCCGGATAATCCAATCTCGTAATTCATCACCAAGGTCTGGGAATCTGTAGTACGGCATCCATGCTAGCCATAGGTCTACTGCCTCCTCATCACTGAATTGCAAAGAAAGACCATGATCACCTGAAGGCCTGGAAAACAATTTATATGCATAAAAACCCTTGAGCAGATCAAGCTTACCTTAAGAGAATTCGATCTCTGTTGAAAGTATCCCACCACACTGGAATCATAGCTCCAGGGACGTCTTCTGCTCCATAATCTGATGAAAGAATTATGTTCAAGTTGGGTGAGTGTTGCCCCTGGTAACCCCCCTGCACTTGCTTCAGAGTTTTCCATAACACCAAGTCACGGCCAAATGCAGTCTGGGCTTCATCAACTAAAAGAAGCCTTTTCGGACCACCGGGGCCAAGGAGATCCGCCACCTCAACATCTGTAGCACAGGGAATTAATTCAACTCAACGTGCAGACGCTACACTTACCACAAGTAAGCTTGAGAAGCTCCTTGAAGGTAAGGTCATTGACAGTAGCAAGACTGATAAGATAAACAGCTTTCCAGTTTGGCAAGTATTTTGCTTTCCGATATGCCAACTGCAGGAAAGACGTCTTTCCGCTCTGAGGCGGAGCCTGTATCAGGACGGCACCTTTCTGCTGAACGAGTTGTAACAACTTCTCTATCGCTGAGTTCCTTGGCGTGAAATACTCCTCTCTTGCGAGTAAGCCGTCACTTACTAAGCCCAGATTTAGATACGCGCTGACTAAAGTGAGTAAAAAGAAAAGTCAACGAAACAATATCAGAAACGAATCACTCAGAATGCAGTGAAAGAATGTTGAAGAACAAATGGGATAACAACAGGGGAAGAAGGCTTTGATCAAGGGCTATCAGATCCTATAATAGCAAAAGCGGGTTTGAAGGCACGGGTGCACAAATATTTCGCAAATGCAATGAGAAAATTTCTTGCTTACACTACCGGACTGCAGAGTGCTTACCTGCAGCATGATCTGCAACAGAAACATGTTTGTTAATAAATCAATCACAAAATCAAAGATCCAAGAACATACATGACAGCAAAACATGAAAACAATGAAAGTCATAAAAACACACAAGCAAGACGAACCAACTTGCACCTTTCACAAACTTGAGATAGACGAAAGCTCCCTCTGAGAAACTCAATGCCAAATGACTGTCAGTAACTTTAATCCACCGTGACTCCTTTGTATGCAGCAAATAAACATGAGAGACACCGTTGTCCTGTTTGATCCTCGTTACTACATCACCCAGCGGTGTTCCGACCGCTACATCATCAGCAGTCGCAGAAGAATGTCTCTTCAGAGCCCTAATAGTGGGATCTAGGCGCTCCTGCGCCTTGATCACGCAATAGCACACAGTGTAACCACCCTCACACTCCATTTCCTCCATCGCCAAAACCCTGGGATCCAACGGCCACAGATGATCTACGGCATATGACTTATAATGGAGTTTGCTAATTTGTTCCCTATATCCAAGATTCATGGAGGAGGTGTGCATCCATTGTACATTCTCTCGCTGGTGCGTAGGACGCGCGTAACAAAAAAAGACTCCCCTCTTCCTCCAAAGATGTATAAACAAAACTCTCTTCTAGCAGTTGATGCCACACTGCTCCAGATTGGGACCTTGTACCTTTTGCAGGAAAGGATTGATTCGCACCCACAGCAGCGAGAAGATCGATGCTAGAAGGATGGACCACACCACCACGATCGTTGGAGTCCTGTTTTGCCTTCCCATGAGACCCTTGAGGAACGGGTATAGATGCACGATCACCCAGAATGCGAAGAAGATCTTGCCGAAGAGAGGACCCCAGGATTGATACCCGTTGTTCACTGCGTCCGAGATCCCCGCGGCAACTCCCACTAAGTTGACAATGATCAGCGTCGTCGGGGGAATGAGGAGAGTCGTCCACTTGAACTCGTAGAGCTCGCCAAAGTCTTCGTCATCTGCGGACTTGGATGTTACCGTGAAGTTCGTGTCGATGCCGGCCAGCACCTTGAGCAGCCCCTGGAAGACCGCAAACAAGTGGGAGGAGACGCCACCAATCACCCAAAACTGTTCGTTCCTCCACCACTCATCAATACCGACGCCGCTCCAGCGGAGCTCCAGGATACCCGTTGCGAAGATGGAAAGGAACAACGAGATAAACCACAAGCTATCGAAGTTGCTTATCTGGAAAAGAAAGAAAGCTGCTCGCGTCAGAAGCAAAAGTCTAAAAATCTTACCGTGGGAATGATAAACTTGTTTGTGAGCAAGCATACTGCCGGTAGAGTGCAGTATGCCACCAAAGGAATCGACGTCAGTGGATAGACAATGGTGTTGATGTAAGCCAGCCTTTGCAGCCATTTCAACCGGCCGGAATACCCATACCATATTGGACAATGTCTGCTCAGCAAAATCTCCACCGAGCCCAGGGCCCATCGCAACACCTGATGCAGACGATCCGACAGGTTGATTGGAGCCGAGCCCTTGAATGCAGGCCTCGCAGGCATGCAGTATATCGATCTCCAGCCGCGAGAATGCATCTTAAATCCAGTCAAAATATCCTCCGTAACTGAACCATATATCCACCCAATCTAGAAAGCGAACAGAGATTAGAGACAGCTGATGATAAATGTGTAGTAGTGTAGCGTACCTCTTTCCCCCATTCCGTTTTGTCTTCGTAACCACAGCTTATGACATGAATCGCTTCTTTCAGAAGAGATGCGGGACTAGCATCCTCGGGAACTCCTCCTTGTTCGAGTAAAGTTGACGAAACAAATACTGGTGATTGTCCAAATCTTTTCTCAAAGAATTTCTCAGAAGAAAGAAGAGACTTTGCATCCCCTGTACCTGGAAAATACGAGCAATTTCTTTTTGTCAAACATATCGAAAGCAAAGAAAAGTATGGTACGTACCTTCTTCCAAATCTTCCAACGAGAAAGCCGGCAAATTTGAATCCGTCCGCTTGCTACTAGACTTTTTCTTCGATTTTGAGCTTGAGTCCTTGCTTCTTTTTCTTGGACCAAACAAGTTAAGAGATCTTCTAGCCTTGGTTTTCTTGGGAGGGTCATAGCCATATAACGCTTGCCTTCGAAAGGTACAACCGGTGCCGACGTAAACTGGGCCTTGCAAACCGTCCAGACCTTTCAAGTTGATCTGCAGAGGAACAGGTTATAAACTACAATCCAAAACGGCGCAATGCATACTTACATCGAAGAAAACAGTGTTGTGATTTGCATACCGGTCATTCCTATCAATACCATCGAATCTTTGCGGAAACTGCACGTAGCAGACACCCTTGCCCATTGTAGGATCCATCATAAAGCACATTGCTTCCCGGAGTGCTTTACTGTTGTTGATGTAGTGATCGCAATCCAAGTTAAGTAAGAAGGGAGCATTTGTCAGAACTGCTGAAACCCGAACCTGCACACAATTAAACATCAGAACTACCATGCCAGAGTAATAACTTCCTTTACCAAGGCATTCATAGCACCGGCTTTTTTGTGATGATTAAAACCTGGTCTCTTTTCACGGGAAACATAAACCAAGCGGGGTAGCTCGTTGCCTTCGGTGTCATGGCCTCCGCTGTGACCCAGAAACACCTGAAAACAACCTCTACATGTAAAGACAACAAATATTTACTATTCTCGTCTCTATTACCTGTATCATTCCGGGGTGATCCCGCGTATTGTTTCCAGGCCAAGGTGTTCCATCCTGCATCGTCCAACCTTCCTCGGGCACCTTCTGCGCCTTTGCAACCATTGCGTTCACTCGAACTTTGAACTCTTCGTACTCTCTCTGCAAATTCAAAGCAACATTTAGAAGCAGGCTGAATAATATCGCATCAAGATTCAATACCTTCATTGCCCGACGCTCTTTTACGAAACTCGGCTGCACTTTGTCCTTGAGATAGTCTATCTTTTGCGCGAAGTACATCTCCGGTGCTCGAGGCTCAATGTTATACTTCTTGACGAATGGAACCCACTTTCTTGCAAATTCTGATGTCTCTGAAAGACCTTCAAAGGTAAGCATGGCTGAACCATCATCGGAAACGTAGCATGAGACTTTATCAACCGGATAATCGACTGAAAGAATTGATAGAATAGTGTTTGCCGTAACGAGTGGGGGCTCCTTCATGGGATCCACTGTACTGACAAATATGTCCACCGCAGCGAGCTGTGACGGCTCGCCCTCCCTCTCGTACCTGAACGATCGATCAAGGCGTTAGTAGGATGCGTTTGTAGAATACCAAACTGAGAACTGACCTTAGAGAGAGCCTGTCTAGATAAGTTTCCCGATTGATAGGAAACCATTTTGGAAATTGATCAAGAATCCATGAAAATGCAAACCATATCTCGCAAATAACTGACGTAAGCCAGAGGCCGAAAGCATTTGGGACAGGGTTGAGGAGCCGATAGCGGAAAAAGAATCCTAGAATGACCAGCCGAAGAACGATAACCATACGGTAGGGATTAATCTTGCTTGAAGGTAAAGGAACCTTTCGTGATAGTGGCTGTCGCGCCTCATCCATACTGCAGACAAGAATCAGTAGCGGCTCGTGACAAAGCGAAAGAAAAAGCTTACATCGGCAATTCCGGGCCATCAAGCGGATTTCCATCGATGTCATATCCTTTACCACCAGAGCCAAGATGGCCTTCAGTCATCATAACCTGCTTATCTTGCTTCTGTTTCCAGCTCTCTAATCTTTCCTTCCATGCGACACTCCCGTATCCATACGAAGACGGATCTTTAGAAGGATCCATGGATCGAATTTGGACTGAAATTTCATCAATCAAAGAGACGTTGGAACAATGCAAGCTTCCATCGGCTTACGTACCTGGAAGGTTGTCACTGTATGGAAGGGGATGAACACGTTTTCCACCGGGCCCAAAATTTGAAGGAACAATCAAAGCGTGATGATCAGGTGGAATGACATCCACATCGCTCCCATCCTATCAGCAGCATTGCTTAGACTAGACTTTGGATAACAGAAGGGAAAGGAATTCCAAAGCTACATACCATTTGCCCGTTTGTAAGAAGAGGAACAGGAGGTTGCAAGCCAGGCATCTCAATTTCGTGGTCTTCTGCCCGACCATAGCTCATCCGGCCGTGGAGCATAGCCTCCGCTAGCTGCTGCCTGTCCATCTTGTCAACCTCGTCGTGGATGTTGAACTCGCTATCCAAGTCATCGAACTCCTCTTCATCGTCGTCCCCTTCCACTCGCGGGCTGCCTGTCCACGATTTCCACCGAGGAGTGTTAGTGCCCTCTCGCTATCCTATCGTAGTACCCAGCTAGAGAGTCTATCTATCCATCGGCTGGGAGGATTTGAAGGCATGGGTAAAGTACCTTTGTGACGCTTGTAGCGTGTTTTGCACTGTGGGCACGCCTGGTTCCCATCCTTTCTTTCGTAGTCATAGCAAGGGCGACACACTGGAAACGCGCATTCGTTGCAAGCGACGAACAAATCCCCATCCACGGTCAGGCCAACGTCGTCGCCACAGATTTGGCACACCTGCTGCTCCGCGTGGTTGAGAGGCTTCACCTACATTCGCGGGAGATCGCGAGGAAACATAAGAATGGAGCACCATCACCACGCACAATCACTCACCACATCTCCCCGGATGACAAGAAGCTCGTTCCTGATGTGCGATCCAGCGACGAGGCCCGCATTCGCCTCCATCTGCCCGAAATTTCTCCACGGCGATGCTCGACAGCCACGATTACCAGCGGCTAGACCTCAGCTCCCCTCCATTCCTTCCCGCGAAAGAAACCCCAGCCCGCCGATCGATCGGAATGCCGTGCGCTGCTGTGGCGGATCTAGCAGCGGCGATGGCGGCCGGCGCGCTGGAGCACCGCTCCTCGCCCTCGATCTCGCCAAACAAGACGAAACAAGAAAAATGCCCTGCCTCTGTCACGAAAACACACGGTTCAAGAACAAAAGAGAGAAAGCGCCTCTCTCTCTCTTTTTCCTCTCATCTTCTTCATACGCTAGATAAATAAAAACACTGCTAAACTTAACTAGCGGATGTTAGATTGGCGGAGGTAGCCGGGGTGAAGTGAAGACCCGCTGTCCAGCCGTTGGGGGAGGGGCATATTCGTAAATCCTCGCCAGCGGTAACTCTCGCGGTAACATCCGGCACGTGGCACCAGGAGATTGGATAGCCGTACCTTGGCATGGGATCATTTGCTCAATGATTCTAAAGAGCTTAGCTTGCAGTGCCATTGGCATTGCATGGGGACCGCCAGCTGGCTGGGTGGACTGATAACGTCATCCATGACCATGCATGGCTGGCATTCTAGAGTGTGTAGAGTTTACCACCACGCAACCAAAGATCTTACAAACAAGGTGGAAAATTAGAAAATGGCCACCTTTTGACCTAATTGACGTGTCGGCACCATGCAAACGACAAAGCAGGCTAGCTGGGTGGCGCACAAGGATGCCCAGCTTGGAGCTAGATTTCCTGGGCATTTGGGTCGCGGCCCACTGGCAAAATTTGTCTCCTTTCCTCGCCTAGACAAAGCGAAAGAAGAGGAAAGTTCACAAAAAATTCGGTCTCTCTCTCTCGGCTGGAGGGAGATGAAGCCTTTGTTCCAGCTCCATCCTTTTTAAATCGTCCATCTTTTTCTTTCGCAGCTGCGGCCACTGACATCCAGCGCGACTTTGCTTTGGCACGCTCCTTACACTGCATAGCCAGGAAGAAAGCAGCCTTGTCTGTGCCAAAGCGAGTTTTTGCGTTGTCTCCCTCTCTCTCTCTTTCACGCTGAAAAACCTGTGCGTGTCATCGGAGAAAAAAGTCACTAAAAACGTGAAAGGAAAGTGGAGTACCTTAGTAGTAGTCTACAAGAGTTTGCTTTCCACGCTACTGTACACTGTAATGCACACAAAGTCAGCCTGCCAATGAAACCGGAAAGGAAGACAAGAAGAATGCTTCCATCACCCCCTTTGGCGTGGAGAAACAAAGGCCGCTGCTTCGCTCGCTACTTTGTCACCGCCACCACCTTGCGAAGTTTCATCGGCATCGGCAATGTGCTTCTTCGACGATGCAGTCCCCGCCTCGTTGTGCTGGGTGTTTTCACCGCCACCGCCCTCTGAAAGCTCGGGGGAATCCGCTCGGCTACTCGCTGCCTCGTCGTCCGTCTTTGTTCCTTCGTCGTGTCTCCTCAAGTGAGGCGTCTCACTGAATCTGCTCGAGTTCCCGCGGCAGCTCTCCTCCCTGTGACGCTTTCTCCACATCTGGATGACATCATATAAAGGAAAACTCTCAGAGGCTAACCAAGCGATGAGACAAGCGTACGAACCAAGCGGTGCTCCTTGGAAGAGCTGCTGCTTCCCAGCGTTCGTTTTGTGAGAATGTTTGAAGGCTGTGCCGAGGCAGACGACACAGCTTGACGCACTCTTGGAACTCTCGGAACTCTCGGGGAGCTATTGAGCTCTTGATGGAGCAGTAGCGCCAGCTGCCAAGAAGAATGTATCACTATAAGTGAAAAGGAGAAAAACAATTGCTGGGTACCTCCTCGTCATTTAATGGCGCAGCTGGAGATGAAGCTCCTGGAGACGATCCACTCGACTTAAACAAGCTTCCCTTGTCGTCCTTTGTTCTGTCTCCGCCATCTTTGCTTCCAGACTTTCTAGGCAGAGTACTACTACCATGACTGGGCTTGCTGCTCGTGTGCGCGAGTGGCGTCTTGGATGTAGTTAACTGCTTCGAGCTGCTAGGCTGAGAAGATGGAGATTTAAGTGGCACGTTGGAGCTCTTTGCCGAGTCAGACTTCTTGAGCGCAAGGGAAGCAGGAGCGACAACCGTCTGTTTAGAGGAAGTCGACGACTTGGTGCTTTGTGCTGAAGATTTCATTGCCGTCTTCGCAGCAGAAGCAGGCGGCGGCAAATGTGAAGCCTTGACTGCAGCAGCTGGCTTCTGATTAGTTGGCGAGCTCGGGGTCGCATTCTCTCCGAATGATTTCACGCTCGGACCCCCCGAATTGATAGAAGCCGGCGACGGAATGTCTGACTTTGAGAAAGTCGTCCTGACACTGAGTTGACAGCCCTTGTGTTCCAACTTCTTGGTATCATCAACTCCGTGAGGAGGCTTTCCAGCTTGCTGTTGCTTAACCAAGCTGGAATGATCCACAGACTCTACCTCGGGGGAAGGAAGTTCCAAGGAGCTGTCCAAAGCTTGCTTCGGGAGCTCGGTACTCGCTGTTATAGGCGAAACATTCTGAGAGGAATTTGTGGGATCGCTTTTCAGTTTTTTGCACTGGTCTTCCCTCTGAGGTGGGGGACCCTGCAGAAAATCCAGCGGTAAGAAACGACCGAAAATCAAGACAAGGAATCCAGCAAAACAAAGAAAAACGAAAAGAGTAATCTCGTTGCCTTCCCATACCCTCTCCTCTGTACAAAAGCATTCAGACGGCATGCAATCTCGATCTTACTACCTCCGTGTCCTGTTTCTTTGTGGAGAGTCGAGGCTTTTGACAGTCGACACAGACAAATTGCTTCGACGCGTTACCTGCAACAATAGCGATGCATGACGCGAGATCCACAGAAAGAAGGGAAAAGAAGAAACGTACCTTGCTCGTCACTGCTACTCGGCTCCGGTCTCAAGCACTTGCTACAAAGCCTTAAGTTTCCGTCCATGAACTCCTGGACAGCATTCTTTTTCATCGCTTTCGGGTTCTTGGGCGATTGCGCTTTTCTGTGGTGTTGGTCGCCCTTGCATGAATCCAGGCCAGCCTTCATCTTCTTCCTGCTGTAGTGCTGCTCCTTGACATCCTCCCTCGTCCTTTTGCTCTGCGAGTTGTGCTGCTGTTTGTCATCCTTGAGTCCCCGGAACTTATACTTGTGCTTGGTGTGCCTGATCACCTCGAGCTTCTTGCCATGCCTGTCCCTGCGACCTCCGCCCTCGTCATCACCCACCGGCTGGACATCCCCGTCGACGTTGGAGAGCTTGCATTCCTGGTGCTCCGCCTTTACCTTCTTGCAGCCCCTGGAAGGAGGGGACTCCTTGAGCGCTGGCTTGCAGAGCTCGAACAAGCAGGCCGTCTCGGTGCGAGCCTCGTAGTGCCAGTTTGGGATCTCCGTGTACTGGACGTGGAGCAGCTTTGGGACGTAGCCGGCGCACTTCCACAGCTGCTGCGAGAAGACGCTCGAAACACCAACAAAGATGGAGGCGTCTCCCCCGGGGGCGCCGTGCTCGTGGACTTTGCGCGGGACGGGCACCTCGCAAGACTGTCCCACAGCCGTGTCAGTGTTCATGATCCTGCCCAAGTTTCTCTCGTCAAAACTCACCGATTTGCCGGGGAGCTCCACCAGCAGTTGCGCCACCTCCGACTCCTCCCTCTCCTTGCGCTTCTTCTCCTTGCACTTGTCGCAGACGTAGGTGGAGACGGACTTGGAGACCTGGCAGCAGGAGGTGTGCACCCACACGCCGCACTCGTCGCACTCCACCATCTCCTCGCCATCGTCGAAGGTGACGCCGCAGGGGCAGTCCACCGTCCACGGCTCCTCGCCCCAATCCTCCGACTCGGAGCTCGAATTGTTGTGGCTGATGTTGCTGCTGCCCTTGTTGTTCCCCCCATTCTGGTGCTGCTGCGCCTGCGCCTGCGCATTGCTCGCGCCCATCGCCAAACGCCCCTGCCCAAGCCCTAGAAATCTAGGGCAGAAGGGAAGGAGGAAGCATATTCTTTCCGACGGGAGAATATTTTCTAGCTACGAATATCCTATCCTCGACGAATATTCTTTAGGTGGGGAATCTTTTGCGACTATTCCTTAGAAGGAGAATCTTTTCCGAATAATCATAGAAATGCTAGCGCTTGCCGAGTGTATCTCACTTCTGGCAGCTGTATACAAACAAAGGAGAGGATTTGTAGTAGCGATGGATGGGTGGAATCAAAGGGGAATCAAATGGGAGTGGGCGCGGGATATGCGCACTTCTTGGTGTCGGGGTCCCAGACCGCGGGGAGCAAAAACTTGCGGCCATTGATGCCATAGGCGTTGTAACTGGCGCCCGACTTGGAGTCCACGAGGAGCTCGCCGGGGTGCCCGGGGAAGGCGCCCTTGCCGTAGATCCCGGCGCAGGCGGTGGCGGCGCCCAGGTGGGCGTGGTGGTGGCCCTGGTAGTAGCCCGTGCCGTACGGATTGGTGGCGGCACCGATGAGTACCGTGGCGACGTTGATGAGGAGGCCGTCCATGCCCACGTCACCGTTGGGCGGTAGCAACGGCTCCTTGTCCGGCCCGAAGAAGTCGCGCGGATGGGCAAACGGCCACGCGCACCGCCCGCTGCACTGTACGGTCGAGTCGCCCACCCAGCCGTACGGCATGGTCGGGTCCTTGGCCGGCTCTAGGGTTTCGTTGGTGTGGCGGTGGTAGCCGCAGCTCTGCTGGCAGAATCCGTGCTCCGCGACGTCCTGCGATGGATGGATCGATTAGAGCGAGTTAGCGCGATGGAATCGAGCCACATTGAGCCCACATTCTTACCTTGGCAGTGAGGACGAGGTAGAAGGAATCGGTGTCCATTGGGAATCTGCCCGAGAAGACGTTGCGCAGGATGAGCTCCTGGGTGCCATTGCGATCCAGCTTCTTGCCCATGGAGTAGTCGTCCTGGATCTCCTTGACGACCTTGATGGCCTCGAAGACGTGGGTGCCATTGCCATCCTTGTACCGCGCGGTAACCTCCCACCATTTGGACACCGAGGGCAGCGTTGGAGCTACCTTGGCCGCCTTGGCATCGAAGGACGCGAAGAAGTCCCGGACGATGGATTTCTGGGCGGGCGTGAAGCTGCCATACCACACGAGATAGATGTCGAGCGATCCTTTCCCTGCTAGCAGCGGCCCGCCGTGGTAATCCAGGACGAGCGGCGTCTCGGGGACGAGCGCGCGCTTCAGATCGTGGAAGCCCACCAGGCGCGCATCGCTGAGTAGCAGCGATGCGAGGATCGAGAGCAAACAGAGCAACGACGAGGAGATCTTCATCCTAGAGCGTGGAATGGATCGAACGAACCCACAAAGCGTCGATCGCTGGATCGATCGATCACGTCGAGGCAGTGGATTGATCGAACAGGGAAGAACAGGGGCTCTGTTTCTTCGCTGTCGTGATAAGCGAAGGGAGAGCTCAAGTATTTGTAGTAATGAGAGTGAGAGAGATGACAGGTCCGTAAAAATTGGTTTTTTATGGGGTTTGAGCACATGCCCTCCCTGCAACACAGCTTAAATGACTCGTTTGGAGGATCCATCCGCCATAGCCAAGTAAAACTCTGTAGTAAGAACCTCGGAATTTACCTGGTAGAAATTCTTACGCGGAGGAGCACAGCATGTGTGAGGACGTTACAACAGTCCCACAAACAACCAACCAAAATCTCTGTGTCTTCTTCGTCTTCGCAGTTTCTTCGTGCCCGTCCAACTCAAGTTATAACAAAGCGCGTGTGACGACGCGACTGGTTCTTCGCAAACAACGAATTTTAAGTCCCTTTCTCGTTTGATCTTCAGTCTCCAGTCTTAAGAAAATCCAGTCTTAAGAAAATCCTGCAAGAGTCTCTCCTCTGTTCTTAAACAACTTCGCTGCCACCGACCATACTCGCTCGCATGTGTTTACCACATGCTCTCCGCAGTTTTCTTTTCTGGATTTGCTTCGCCCGGTCGAGCCTTTGAGTGGATCCAAGTTGAGAGTGTCGAGTACCTTACGATTGAATGCGTTAGGAGGTTCCAGCTTCCGTGGTCCCACAATGAACGTCTCGTCGAAACGAATAGAAAAAGAGAAGAAAACGCAGAGAGTGAATGAGAAATCAAGAGCTCCAAAAATACCTGTAGGCTCTCTAGAAGAGAATGTAGCTATACACAGCCTTTGCCAAGTCGCAATGGCAAACTTTTATCATACACTTGCAAGTTACGACCTCACGTCAGCGAGCCTGGCCCTCAAAGCTTCCAGCTCTGCCTCATCGTCACCTTCTGCTACGGCCTGTTGCTGCAAATCAGATCGGAAATCGTTTTTAAAACGAAAGAGATCCAACGTTTTTTTTTTTTCCACAAAAAAAGCACGGAAAGTTGCTCTTACCTGTGGTGGAGCAGCCTCGGCATCAGCAGGCTGTTTCATCTTTTCTCTTTTTGTTGTTGCTGGCAGCTGAGAGATTGTCTCTCCAGCAACTTCTGAAAGGACCTTGTCCACCTCCTCGTCAATCTCGTCTTCCATATCTTCTGTATCGATAGCACTATCTACAGCGTCATTCACAATCTCTTCGATTACTCCGGCCTGACCCAAAAAAAAAAAAAAAACAAACTTTGATGTCATGCCATGAAAAAGAAAGAACAAAATATCCAAATACAGACCTTGAGCATTTCTTTTTGGAGCTCCATCATGGTTCTCGAGATCTCGGGTGCTTTCATAAGATTGTTTACCATCTTGAGAACCTCGGCACTTTTGGCTAGGTGCCCGACGGCTTTTGCCGTTGCTGCGAATGGCCAAAGAATTTTAGCAAACACGAAACCATGCGGAAGAACTTACCAACACTCTCTCCCAGATGCATCGAGATTGAATTGAGCTGAGCTCTGTTCTCGTACAGGCGATCGATCACCTTTCTCGATCTCACGATTTCTTTGGCAAGAAACTGTCACCCGACACCGAAAGAATATAAGAACCTAGACAAGGAAAAAGTGAAAATGCGGCCTTGCCTTGGCAGATCCAGTGTCATTTCGTCGCACAGCCTCTCGAATGGATTTCTGTACGTTCTTCTCTTCGCGCTGGATATCTAGAAACCAAATTCTCACGCAATTCAGCCAATCGCAGCAAGAATGCGGGGGAAAAACCCTAGAAGACGAGGGATCGTACCCCTGACCTGGCGTTCAACGTTGCGAGCTTCCTGGCGGAGGCGGCGCTGCCACTCGCGCAGCTGCTCCTGCGGCGTCGGCCTGGGCTTGAACACGCCCTTCACTCGATCCATCATCTTCCCTCGCGCGCGATTGCAAAAACCCTAATTTCGAGACCTAGATCTGCCAGCGTGGACGCGCTTTTTCCACGTGGCGGGCGCGCATTGGCCAGATAACCTGATGTGAATCTTCACAGGACATATATGCATGGGAATGGCATGTGTATACCATGGCATTCTTGTTGCTCGCTCGCTAGGGAGAGTTTATTTTAACCCTAGCGAGGGCAAAGAAGAGGAGAGAAGGCCGCGCAGCGCAGCGCTCGCGCATTCTCGCAGCTTCGTTCCATCCATGGCGTGCTTCTTGCTCGCAGCGAGCGCGCATTAGGTCAGAGATTAGGGCGCTGCGTCCATGGCAGTGGAGCGTTTCCACTGATTCTTGTCGCATTTGTAACATTTGATAGACTACACTCTTCTTGGGCGCGCATTGTACAAAACAACTCGACTCGAGGTATGCTGCTCCTTCTTGCTCCTGTTTGGATCGATTCTAGGATATCTCGTGGAGAGAAGAAGAGAGGAGGATTGTTAGCTATCACATTTGTATATCTTTGGAGAATGAGAGGGAAACAAATGATAAAACGTGTTCTAGTTTTTGGTAGTACTTTTACTGACAACTTTCGTGTAAACTGCTTGGATGCAGAGCTGGCGATGTCGCAACGCTGCCTAGAATTTGATGCCGAAGTTGGGAAAGAACCGCAAACTCCGAGCATTGCACCCAAGAGCTCGGTGGCAGTACGCTCGCGCATGCCTTGCGGGATTGGGCTACACCTCAATAGCCTGGGTGGCTTCACAACGACAAAGCCAAGTGTGCGTGTCACGCAGCAGCAGCAGCAGCAGTGTCAGACGAATGGTTCTCGAGACGTGCCCGCCTCCTCAGCTTGCTCGGCTGGATCGGAGCCGGTCATGTCGGTACTAGACAATTCTGGCGAAACGGATAACAAGGAACACAACGCTGCGGACAGCGGACAAGGCGACGAGTGCGTCCAGTCGTGGGGGACTTCCGCGGTCGAAGACTTGTCGTTCGTTTTTCATGAGGAAGTTAAAACAAAGCAATCTGGACGGAAGCGGTTGCTTATGGATCCAGATCCAGACGATGGAGATGACAAACATGCCGTGGTGAAACCCAAAAAGAGAAGGTAACTTGGACAGTTAACTCTCTCGCTCTCTCTCTCTCTCTCTCTTGGCTTTTCACTAAGCATTAACTGCAGGAGATCCAGTGCTCTTGATCCGAATTGCAAGCGCTGCAGCTGCAAGAAATCGAAGTGCCTCAAGCTGTACGTTAATTTTTTTCATCTTTTCTTCGTTTTTATTTCTGGCCTCTGAAAGGAGTGCATGCGTGTTTGGTGCACAGATACTGTGAGTGCTTTGCTAGTGGATCGTACTGCCTGGATTCTTGCGCATGTGGCAATTGCTCCAACCGGCAGGAACACGAAGATGTTGTTAGTGAGACTCGTCAGTTGATTCAAAGCCGAAATCCGCTGGCATTCGCTCCAAGAGTGATCTCTCCAGCCGAAGTAGTACGTGTATGTCAAGCATTTGTATCGAGTAATTCACTTATCTTTGTATGTGTATCAGCATGAAGCTCCTGCCGCTGCAGCCATTCCCGCTGCTACGTCCAAGCACAAGCGCGGATGCAACTGCAAAAAGTCCCTGTGCTTGAAAAAGTACTGCGAATGCTTCCAGGTTCGCTGACTTCTCTGCTTGATCTGGATTCCTATACTGACGGCAGTTTCTACTACTTGAAGTCCGAGGTCGGTTGTTCTGATGCATGCAAGTGCCGTGGATGCAAAAACACATTTGGTGCAAAGCAAGGTGATGATTTTCTGTCGTGTGTATTGCCACTGTTAATGCTGGCACTTGACAGGTTCACCGGAGCTGCAAGTAAGTACATCAGAGGCTTCAAGGCAGGAGGTGGAGCTTGGCAGTGGCGACGATGGTTTTTTCAGAACGCCCCGAGCGTGGTAAGCATTGCAAAGTTTAACCTCGATCATTTTGTTTCCCCACCTTACCGCGATGCGATGCTTTTTACAGCCGGGCAGCGGGACGAGACATTGAATCGCCCGCCCCGCAGACTGGAGCGTCAGCATGTTCCAAGTCATCGTCCAATTTTTACACTCTGACCACCCCGCTGCACGAGAGATACGATGGCGATATTTCTCCTGAGTTTAGTGCCTCAAGGACGCCCTGCCAGAGGCAGCCGAGCAGGACCACTGCGAGTCAAGGCTACACGTCGGTGCTGACAGTTTCGTCCAGGGGCCGCACACTGCCACCGGGGACACATTCTTTGCAAAGCAAGACGCTAGACACAGTTTCGGCAGAGGAAGAAGACGACTTCCCAGATTTCCTCCTGGATCCATCCGAGGTTCAGTCGGCAACCGTGACAAGCTCACCCAAGAAGAAGCGGGTTACACCACCACAGGTTGGCGCCACCGCTACCACGACCACGACCAAGTTACCTCCGGTGCTTAAGAACGGGAGGAAGCTGACGCTCCAGGCCTTACCGTCACTCCCGCCGGTGTCTTCCATACGAGAAAGTTTCAGACCAAAGAACAAGTGAAGCGGGCTGTCTGCGTCGCGATGACACTTCTTTTGGGGGCCCAGCTCGGGTAGCTAGGTGGTCAGGAGTACTGTACGACGTGGAGGAAGGGAATGCCTGAACGGATGGCCTTATAGCTAGCAGGGTATCAAAGGTTGTTGAGCACTGGAGAAGGAAAAAACGCAAAGTTTCAGGCTCGTGGCATTTGAAGACGGCGAGTTCCACTTCCTACGCGCCGAACTCTCTTGGCATTATCGGCAACGACCAAGCAAAGCAGGGACAGACAGCAGCAACAGCAAATGGCCTTCTTTTATTCAAATGGACACAGTCAAGCCAAGCCATTGGACCCCGTTCGTCCACAACGCACGGCCCTCTCCACTCCAGCTTGTTAGATTCGTTTTGGGACGATGTGGAATATTGCGGGGTCAGCATCAACCAGAGAACACTCAACGCTCTCTTCAACTATATACAGAATGGTGAAGTATTAGGCCACGAGCAACTAGGGAGTAAATGCCAACCGACTCGCCAAGCCCCACCTCGATCCGTGGCATCCAGCTTTTTTGGCAGACGCGGACGTGTGTGTGACAACAGAGGAGGAGGAGCTCTGTGCCTTAAAAAATATAGAGAGAGGAGGGGACGAGAAGAGGAGAAGCAAACATCACATCTGATCTAAGACTGCGGAGATGGGGTCGGAATCGGTGGGCTCGTCGTCATAAAAGTGTGCCAGTGACTTGCTGCTTTGCTGCTGCCATGACGCAGCGTCGATCTTGGTGTCGAGAATGGAGGAATCTAAGAAACACCACGACTTGAAAACGCTCCCTCCGGTTCCGGTGGGGGAGAAGATCCCGTCCGAGAAGCAGCTCCACGAGTCCGTCGTCTCGGAGCACGACGATGGAGAGTTGGAGCTGCTGTTGTTGCTGCTGCTGTTATCGATCCAGAATGGGAACACGGACGACGCTGCCGTTTGCTGCTCTTGAGCTTGAGCTTGAACTTGAGCTTGGTGGTGGTGGTGGTGGTGAGCTTGAGCTTGGTGGTGGAATGCCAGTGTCGCTGGAACGAAATTCATGCCTGCGTCGCAATGCTGCTGCTGCTGGTGGGGGCTGAGCGTGATCGGCAGCATTGAAAGTGAGAAGCTGGTCTCTTCCTCTTCGTTGTGTTGCTGCAGAGACTGCCTAAACCGGAAACCATTATCCTTGACGTGATTGTTGTGGAGCGAGTGACCCGAGACTCCAATTACTTCTCCCAGTTCCTCGGACGATCGGGCGACGCTGTCGGGGCCGGCTGCCATTGGCTTGTGAGTGTGTGGGTCGATACCAACTTGACGTAGCTTCTTCCGCAGGCACGAGTTCCAAAAGTTTTTAATCTCGTTGTCTGTTCGACCCGGGAGCTGCGTCGCAATTTGCGCCCACCTGTATGTAAACAATTCAGCATCAATCCAGTGCTACATTTCCACACCAAATCGAATTCCAGCTCGCTCGAGCACACACCTGTTCCCAAGCACTGCGTGTAGCTTGACGATCAACTCTTCTTCCTGTTGCGAAAAGTGGCCCCTTTTCAAGTCGGGCCGGAGATAGTTGATCCATCTCAGCCTGCAGCTCTTCCCACATCTTTGGAGGCCTGTGACAATGCCACCAAGAATTGTGAGCTCGCGAGAACTTGAAATTGAGGTACGAATACTCACCTGCGTGTTTCGGTACGATGCTCCAGCATTTGTGGCCATACTTTGTAATGTACCTCACCAATTTCTCATCCTCCTCTGGAGACCACAGTCCTTTGCGAAGCTTTGGCTTTGCAGAGGATTGGCTCCCCATGGATCGCCCCGAAGTGAAAAAAACGTACACGCAAGCACACGCACAACTAGAAGAGAGGGAGGGGATTTTATGCAGCAGGGACAGCAAAACACCAAGTTATTTAAGGGAAGAGCAGCACTCACACACGCATGGAATAATCTGTTCCAATGGCAGCTACTGCCCTGTGTGTAGGCCCGAGAGAGAGAGAGAGAGAGAGAGAGAGAGAGTATTACCCGGAAGAAACACGTCGGGATGATTTACTTTTAGTTCAATCAGCACCATTGAGGGACCGGTTGTTGCCTCGTGATTAAATCGCGAATACACTAACATTGTCCTTTGTGGCGTGCCGGATAGATTAATCCTGCAAGGACGATCGAAATTGGGCACTAGCGTGTACAATTCCCTAGGATTGAACGACCGTGTGCCTCCAGGGATGGAATGCCGCCACCTTTTTCTATAAACACATGTCGGTGTTGCATGGACGTTGATTGATCGACGCGCCATGGTTTTAACCATGCCGGGAAAGGACGTCATATAAATCGTTGTGCGTTTGGAATAGAAGAATCTTGTCCTGTTGGATCTATGTGTCAAGTAAAACATACCAGTGGGGAGAATTTAAAACGTGACCTTTGAAAGTACCCAGCTGATGGGGCTGTTGACAAGCCAACGCTTGCATATTTTTCCAAAAACATATATAAAGTGTCTCTTCTCCAGCACAGAAAGGTTGGGTTTGGTATGTTGTCACTGGAGCTTCTCAAATGTGAGAAAGACTGGAATTCTCGCAATGTCCACTCACACTTCCCCCACGTCGTGAATAATATGCTATAGCTTTTTGATTCGCACCAGAATCTTTCACAGGATTCGGATGAAAATACCATACCTTGATAAATTAAGTGTTCGTTTGTTTGCCAGAACACTCAAGCTTGCTCTAAAAAAACATCCGGGTCTGCAGCGACGGGAACACGGAGGGACAGCTCATCGAGACGGACAACCAAGTTCAGAGCACGCCGAACTCACTTCGCTTGAACGAGCCGCAAACTCTCTGTAATCTATAAAAACAATATAAGCATCTGTCCAAAATGCTGTCCAAAATGCCAAATACCTGGTCTTGCCAATAATCTTTCATCTCCAAGCCTTGGTTGAAAACCAGGAACAGTTACACGTTGATACGGGTTGAGATAAAATCCTTTGCTTGAGACAATCACTGTGTCGCTGTATGTCACCTTTAGTATCCAAACCATAGCAATCACAGGGGGAACATCGAAGGTGGTCCCGATGGCCCAAGCAATCTTGATGTCTGAAAGGCCACTTCAGAATGGATGTGAAGGCACGCGACGGCCATCTAAAAACACGCAGACGCAAGATGGCTTCAATCAAATGCGTCTGAGAAAAGTTCAGGTACCTTGGCACAGTCGGGATCTGGATCATGAGAGGCAACTTCAAGAGACCATTCGCGGATCCACTCCAGACCTTCGGTAAGAGAAGCATCCAGTGCGGCTACATGTGAAGGACTAAGTGCTACCAAGACACGGGAAGCAGCAAAGAGTACTGCTCTTCTCACATAAGGTTCCGGATGCTTGAAGATGGGCCTGAAAAGAAGACACAGATAAACTAAGTTGCTGCAAGTGGCAAAAGAAAAAACAAAAACGTACCGAGATCTCAACACTTCAATAAGCCCGGCACCTAACGCCGGTGCATCCGGCTGGAGAGACAGACACTGCATGCAAACACCCAGCATCATTATAAGTCTCGCAAGGATAATGAAGTCTGTCCCCATTATGTCGAGCCCACTTCTTTTCTTGTCGTAATCTCGCATTATCGGCAGCATGAACGCTGTAGCAACCGGAGCAAATCTGTTTCTTTTATAACTACAAGACTCGCCTCCTCCTGTCTTCAACCTTTCCACTTGGAGCTCAAGCGACCGTTTACCCCACCGGCGAGATTTCCCAAGCTCTTCTTGTCCGGGCCGCGGTGGGAGTTCCCTCTCGTACGTCGGTCCCCACGATAGCAAAGAACCTCCCGACAACGGACGCGAAACCTCTTTCCAAGGCCCTGCCGCTCGAGTGACTTCCTTAGGCTCCGCGCCATTCGCAAGCTCTTGCGCTGCATCTGGAAAAAAGTAATGACATCAGGATAAACACTTGCATAAGCAAATACTTGCCCGCTAAAACATCCAGGATCATAAGCCGTTGGCTCATGTCAACGTGAACTGAGTAGAGCTCTTTTGTTAGAACACCTGCACTGGTCAGTGGTGCACAGACCAGCAAAGCCACAAGTGCACGATGCCGTCTGACTTCCACCGTATCATCCGCGGCGCTACAACGCACATATACTAATGCTTGGACCAAATCTGCCGCCGAGTTCTCGAGTTCGTCAGGCATTAGCCTGACGAAGTTCTCACACACATCCAGAGCTCTTTCGATCTGCAAGTTGTATATCAGCTAAAACAAGCAGCATAGAAACCAGAACACTTACTGCATCCGGATCGTCTCCTTTTCTCAGGCTCGCAGCACAGCTACTCAGCTGTGATGGGAACTTTGCTTTGTCAAGATCGGCCTCGTCGTCAGACATGTCATATGGCTTGAGAGAAGCCTCACTTTCGCTGTCCGATTCTTCGTTCCCGCCAAGGTTTGCCAGATCTACTACAGCATCCGGATCATCCACTTCCACTGTAGTTTTGGCCTTCACCTGCCTCGCAATACCATCGTTCCCTGCTTCAGGCGCATCAGCCAAAGCCTTCTTTCCCGAATAATCTGGAACATCCCAGTTTTGAAGATCCTCGATATTGTCTTCGTCGTCTAGAAGTAGAGGGTTATCTGGATTGATCACGATAGAATATACGAGAGCAATTTGTTTTGCCATCCGGCGAATTGGTGGAAATGGACTGTCCAGCCTTCCTATAGAAGAGCACCGTGAGAAACACCAAACAATGAAAGGCTATGTAGTGTTTACTTACTACTAACACCGTCAAGAATAAATTTTAGAAGACTGTCAGTTCCTGAAATCTCCTCTTTAGTCATCGCTTTGATGGAGATACCTAGAGCCGCGGTCACATCTGATAGTGGTTTGTCAATACAAAGACGAGACTGAAGCTAGAAAAACATACATGCTTGGCGGTCGTTCGATGCAGACTGGATGTAATTTTTTTCTGCCCAAGATTCTGCTAGAGATCTTGCGATATCTTTCTGAATGTTCTTTTCCTCGCCGTGCTTGCAGAGCACTGAGAACGACAGTATGCAATTCAAAATACGCAAAGGAAACACTTTCCAAAGTAAAAACCTGTCAGTGAAAATATTTCTGCACGCGCAATAGAAACCTTCAGTTCCAAAACCTGGTGCAAGAAAATCGTAGCTTACCTCACACTTGCGTGCGAAAGCGGGTCACCGAATAACGAGTGGAGTGTAAAGTAAGCATCTTGTTCTGTCACATAACAGTCGTTTAGTCTGTACAATACAGCTTCCGCCATCCGCTCGAGAGCATAGAAGTCTTTCATGGACAAAACTACCCCTTGCCAGCATGTGATCTCCTTGGGAACTGTTTTCAACGTTTGAACAAAGTGTGATAACTCGGAAACAAATTTCGCAGCCACAACATCTGCAAAAGCTAAGACAGTCGACAATAATTGTCCAAAGTGAGTCTTACCAGCGTGACCACGCCTGCAAAGCTTGTTAAAAAGCTCCCCTATAAACAGAAACTTCCCCTTGGCGAGGCTGTCGGTTGAACCATCCCAGCCCTCCTTGGCAGCCGAAAGAATTTGGGACACCACGGAGCTGAGAAATGATCTGTGGCTCGAGTTAAGAATTCGTAACGTAGACAAAACAACAACACCAATGTTTCAAGGATACGGGCTGTGAAGACTCGCAGGAGCCTTTGGACGCACCCTGTCAGGAACAGATGAAACAAGCTGCGCAACTTGTGTGATGCATTGAAGCGACGGCTGTCCAGCCTCAGCAAACTCCTCCGCTATGTTACGCACTCCTGGATTCTCCACAAAACACTTGATCAATAGCCTGAAAGTTCTCCCAAGTTGTCAGGCCTCAAGGTTTCGAGCTTTTTACCGTTCGGCTTGGATGCACAGAACGTTATCAAACTCGCTTTCGAGAGAATGTTCCGTACCAAGTGCCGGCACCAGAGCCATGAGCACTTCGCTTGGACGGCCCGCCAGGAAAAAATCATCAAAGAGCGAGCTTCTTTCACTCTCCGTGAGACAGGCGATCCAGTCGGGTGCCACCTCTTGAAGAAGCGAAGTCAGCATTTCCCTGCCGAGAATGAGAATGAGGCAGCAACTTACTGTAAAGAAGAAACTTGGCCACGATTCCAAAACATTCTGGCTCGTGAAGCACATTTTCTCCTTGTCCTCGTTGCTTGCAAAGATCTGCAAGCTATATGACGAAAAATATCACTATAATACCGCAGAGATATCTTCGGGATATCATACCTGAGCGATATCTCCAATCTTGGAAGACTCTGTTGAACACAAGCAGCATTGCGATGTATAATCCAGTGAAGAGATCAGCCAAACGAACCTTGACGATCGCCGAAGACGACCGATCGCAGCACGCCGAGAGCCGCCACGACATCGTCCACGGCGCAATCTCGCCCGGCGAGGAGATCGCCGATCGCCCTGGCGAGCGCGAGCAGCGACGACGACATTCCTTCCTAAAACCCTAGAACTCCACGAGAGGAGAAAATATTTTGTTTCAAGGTCCCAGTTTCGAATCCCGTCCACTTCGATTTCCTCTGACAGGGCATTGACGATGTATAGGTCGTCGGACACGACAAAGGCAAGCATCATCAACGCTAGAAAATGTTGACCAAGAAGTGAGAAAGAAAATTTTTTGGTCGCGCTGGAATGGATCGATCCGAGATAAGCTCGGTAAATAATAGAAGCCCTTTGCTGGGACTTGCCAAATAAATAGGAGCTTCCCAAAACACTTTGGATTCGATCTGGGAGAGTGGGAGCTATGGCGGGCGGAGGAGTCCAAATGCTCGCTCCCGGATCCAGAGCCGCCGAGTACAAG